ATTCCCAATCTCACAAGAGTACTTGAGAAAAACACGAGGATGTGCATCACCAGAACCATGGAGATAATAAATATTTGTTTTCATTCATCAAAAATTTTAAATTACAAACATACTGATTCATAAATAGTAACTAGTGAGGGGTGGGGAGAAGGGGTAACAGTTCTGTATTCTGAAATCAAGTATCCGGAGCTTCCAGGACCTTCTCCTATGCCAGTCTCTTCTTCCACTTCCAATGAGGAATCTCTGCCTACTTGATTCCGAGGTCACATTTATTCAATTCTACAGGTTCATCTGGTGCTACTTAGGCTTTGCCTAAGAAAAGGACCAATCACTGTCTTAGGAGGGCAGAGACGACAGTGACACCACAGTAAGGCTGTAGAATGAAGTGGTCCCAAGTGAGGGTGGGACTTCCTGTGTGCAAGAGGATGTCCAGCTTTTCATTTTAACAGAGTGATTTCCCTGTAAAGAGGAGTCCATTCTGCAAAAGGACAGAGTCTAAAGGAAGATTGAACTACCTTTTAGGTACCCCAGCAGATCTCTCCATAGACCCATGATCCTGAAGGCTAAGTCCAGGGCCTCCTACCCATATGGCCTCCTATTCCTACAGCTCAGATAATCCCATAGATGCTGACCCTGACCAGGGAGATGCTCTCTGTGCACTGCTGCCGGCCTTTCTCATATAGGACATAGAGCTGGGGAGCCTGACCCTCCCCATGCACACTGCCCTCCAGGACTGCCAGGGAGGAGTAGCCACTGGGCCCTGGCCACAGCTGCAGCCTCTCGTTCTGCCATGAGGTACCATTGCTGAAGCTCCACCGTAGGGTCAGGTTCACACCTGGGGAGACAGCAGAGTCACAGACAGGAGGGCCTCTGCCTAGATCCTCACTGGACACAGGGGCTCTCCCAGTTGACCCCACCCATCAGGCACTCACGGAACTCTTGATGGGCTGGGTTGGAGAAGAAGACAATGCCGCTGTTGGTGGCTAGAGCTCCTGCGGCTACCACAGGGTCCACAAGCTCTTGGTCAAAGGTGACGTCACGAGGCCGTAGTGTATCACAGGCATCATAGCTGCGGAGGATCATTCGGCAGTGGCAGTGATAGTTGTTCTGGTTCCGGGCGTTGATGACGACAGAGCCATCAGGGAGCTCATAGGGCTGAGGGGAGAGACCAGGATCTCAGGGGAATCCAGGGGCAAATGCCTGTCTCCTAGGGGAACAAGGCTAGGTAGGACAGAGCTGGGCATCTAGGCACAGGGTGAGAGAAACAGCGTGCTGGGAGACAGAGCAGGAAGAACAGTGGGAACAGCCATGGGCACCTGACCTGACACTCGTCGGGATTGAAATCATGTTCCTGCTTGGGCTGGCCATAGGGGATGCCAGCGACCCCACTGCCATAGTGCCAGGAGGCACCATGGTCATCGCTGAGGAGGCAGAAGACCCCATCCCGCTCCAGTGTTCCATGGCCACACACGATGAGTCGGCCTTTCCGTGGCTCCCGCTGTTTCTGTGGTAAGGGGAGTTGGGTGTCACAGAGGGAGACACTGCGAGTTCAAAGGCAGACAAGGGGTACCTACCACCTCCCATATGTGAGGATGTGCTTGCTGCTCGAGTCCTATCCTTCTCACCGAGCATCCCAGGAGGGTCCCACAAATACCCACTGTCTGAATTCAGAAGCATGTCTTCAGAATAAGACATCCAAGGTATATAACTGGACTGACAGGTTCTATGTAGCACAGGGGGACCCAGCAAAGGGGGTACATGGGAGCTTAAACCAAACTGTTGTCCTTGCCAAGCTGTACACCCTGGTATAGGCTCCTGTCTACCTAAAGAAAGGGTTGCCGTTTTCTAACCTGTACCACATCCACTAGTGCAGCCCTGGTGATGACCCCCGAATGGGAAGTCAGTGACAACATTTCATCTTTCTCTTTCTTGTAGGCTGTTCTTTCCAGGTTGTCACTATCTTCCAGGAAATCTCACACAAGACAGAAAATGTAACTCCACAGGATCTTATTTTGGGGAAGGAGTCATTTTATGTGTGTGTGTGCAGGAAAGAAAAGCTATTTGGGGGTATACCCCAGACTATCCACAAAGCAGCACCTCTATCTATTTCCCAGGATAGAGACCTGAATGCCAGAACCTGGTCCAGGGGCAAACATTTCAGTGCCGATGTCCAGTGAGAGGTTCTGGGGTTTGCTCCAGGAAATGCCATCATCCTTGCTCCACATCAACATGGTGGAGGCCACCTGGCAGCCGAACTTGTGAGCACAGAGGGAGTAGAAAAGGAACACCACTCCTGTCTCAGCGTCGCTCACCACGGCCCCCAGGTTGAGCCCATCAGGGGTCTCCCCATCGTCTATGATGAACTCTGTTGGAGACCATGTATTACCTGAAGAAAAAAGGGAAGAAATCTAGGTATGAGCACTCAGGGCTTTCCACCCAAAAACCATTGCTGTCGAAGTGCATTCCGACTCACGATGACCTCCTTTGTGTACAGAGTGGGACTGTATTCCACAACATTTTCAGGGCTATGAACTTTCAGAAGCAGATTGCCACCAGTCCTTTCTTTGGAGGCACCTCTGGGTGGGTTTAAATCACCAATCTTTCAGTTAGTATCTGAGTGTTTTACCAATTGTGCAAACCAGGAAACATCCCTTTCCACCACTCCCTGACAGTTTCCTGCTTCCTACAAGGGATGCCAAAGTTCTATAAGACCTGTTTCTCCTTATCTCTGACTTTATCTTCAATCTACTCTGGTTTATTTCATCCAGCCATACCAGAGCTGCTTTGCACTCCTCAAATAATTTTCTTTGGGAACTTTGCAGAGGCTGTAACTTCTGCCTGGTGCACTCTTCCTTCATGAAGTTCACTGTGATATCCTTTAAGTCTTTGCTTAAATGTCACCAATTTAAAAGTGCAATCCCTTAAATAGGCATTCCTCATATCCTTTGCCCTGTTTTGGTTTTCTCCATTGCATTTCTCACCTTCCAACACACACAAAAAGTTTACTTAAACCCTATGGCACACAGTTCTACTGACACATGTGAGTTTACCATGAGTCACAGTTGGTTTTAGAACCCAGAACGGTGCCTGGTATAGAGTTGTTAAATGACATGGAGTCGATTCCAACTCATTGCTACCTTACATAGGGTTTCCGAGGAGCGGCTGATGAGTGTGAACCACCAACCTTTTGGTGCAAACTAGCCTTGCCATTCAGTAGGTGCTCAATAAATGTTGATGGAATAAGCATTCGACTCCTTGGTAATCCTAATGTCTAGATCCCTGACCTGGGTACCTTCTCTCAGGGACCCAGGTCTCCAGCCCAAATTCCCCTATCCTAAAGGCTGTGTGGTGCTGTGGGCTAATGCGCTAGACTGCAAAGCAGTCTGAACTGCAAGGTCGGCGGTTTAAGCTTACCAGCTGCTCCTCGGAAACCCTATACAGGGTCGTTATAGGTCAGAATCGACTCAACAGCACTTAACAACAACAAAGGCCCTTCAAGTTCCCCCTATCCTAAGGGAGTCCTAGTATGGTGCTGAAGGATAATGCACAGGACCACAAGGTTTTCGCTTCAGTCACCAGACGCTCCTCAGAAACCCTATACAGAGTCACTGTCACTTAACAACAAGAACAAGAAGGGCCCTTAAAACCTACAGGCACCTCACCCATACAACCTACACCCACTTTTGCTACCCAGGCATCTTTATACCCTGGTCAATGGACCTCCGCAGAGCGATGAATTTGGCCCCCTTATCCGACGCAGACATTTTTCGTGCCTCAGAGAAGGCGAGGAGCGTGCCCCGAGGGGTGGCGGTGATGAGTGGGATGCGGAAGGTATCCACAGAGCCAATCTGACTCCCGCTCACCCACAACAGCTGCTCCATGGTCACCAACGGCCTCACCTGCGAGGAGAGGGCTTTGTCAGCGCTAATAGACGAGTGAATTTAGGATTTGGGGATGATGAGTAGGGACTTGTACTCAGGTGGCGCTGTGAGTTAATGCGCCAGACTGCAAAGCCATTTGAACTGCAAGGTCGGTGGTTCAAGCTCACCAGCTGCTCCTCGACAAACTCTATACAGGGTCGCTATGGGTCGGAATCCACTCGACGGCACTTAACAACAACAATCCCTAGATAGGAAGTTAATTGGGATTCAGAGCAGGGGCTGGGGTCCCAGAACCAGGATGAGAGTATGGAGATAAACTGGGTCTCGGAGCGGGAATCCCAAGAGAAGGGGACTCGAGTTAGCAGGCGATTCGCGGGAATGAGGGCCGAGGGGGAAGTGGGGCTGCGAACGGATGGAGGGGACTGCGGCCGGAAGCGGGGCTGGGGTGGCCCAGAGCCGCTCAGAGGGGCTCGGTAGTCCTTGTTTGGGGGTCACTGTGCATAGGACACCCGCGCGTGTCAGGAAGGGGCTCAGCGAGGAGTGACTCACCAAACTGAAGTCCTTTGCCCCGGCTCCGAATCTGGTCAAAGACAACAGCAGCAGGAGGGTTGGGGCAACCGCGTGAGCCCCACAGTCTCTCCAGAGCCCCAGTATCTGCGGTCCCCGAAGTCTACCCGGGAGCGTTGTGCTAAGTCGCTCTACTGTCATCGTTCTCAGCCGGTAGCTGTAACCCAGGCTCGCGAGCAAAACTGGGTCTGGAGTAGATGGGCTGACCCAGCCCTTTAAAGCGCAGGTGTTAGTGACACAGAACGCTCCGGCGGCCAGCCGCGGAACCGCGCTTCCGAGACTCTAATTGGCCTTCAAGCTACGGGCTCCCACGTGATCCCCTGCGCTGCCGAACTCGTTTTCCAATTGGCCCTCTTGAAACTCGAAGCGCGTGACCCGGACTAGAAGCTGATTGGTTGCGGTGAAGCGGCTCGTCCTTCAGCCAGAGCTCTTAGGGGGTACTTAGAGGGGTGGGTCCTATTTTAAAGAGCCAGGAGGGGGAAAAAGGTGCATGTCGTCGTGGAGGAAATAAAAGTCTCAGATTCATTGAACAAACAAAATAGCAATATTTAATAAAACCTCTTTTACTACAAAATTGTAATCTGGAAATCGGAGTGGGACTGGGAGGCTGTACAAGTGGAGTGCAACCCAGCAAGGCTGGGTCTCTCACTTCTTCTTCCTCTTCTTGTCACCTGGGGGCGCCTCGTTCTTCTTGCCCAGAATCTGCAGAAGGGACTTGGACATGTAGTAAGGTCGGTCCAGAGACCCGTCGTTCCGCTCCAGGTCTTCCACTGAGCGGCAAGAGAGATCGGTCAGTGAGGACACTCTGGGGGCCACCCCCACCCCTCGGAAAATCTTGGACTTAGGAGACTGGATGGAAAGTCCAGTCCAGGCTTCACCACCATCGACTAGGTTTTTGAGGGCCCGTTTCGTAACCTCAGCTCTCCATCTGTGAAGTCGGATCAATAATACTATACTTCCTAGAGTGATGATAAAGATTTAAGAGGGAATTGTTTATCAACTGCTCGGAGCCTGACACATACCAAGTCTTCCATAAATGTACACACCAAAAAGCCAAGCCCACTGCTTAGAATGGATTCTGAATCATGATGACCCCGAGTTACAGAAAAGAACTGAGCTCCAAAAGGTTTTCTTGTCTGTAATTTTTATGGGAAGTTCTGGTTTGGCCCAAGTATTTATGTACTCAACTACTAAACCATAGGATTAGCAGTTAAAACCCACTCAGGGGTGCCTGGAGAGATAGGCCTGGAAATTTGCTTCTGAAAGGTCACAGCCTTGAAAGGCCTGTGGAGTCTGCCCACATGAGGTTGCTATCTATTGGAACTGGCTTGATGGCAAACAACAGCTATCTTTATGGAAGCATATAGCCAGGTCTTTCTGCTGTGGTACCACTGGATGGGTTCAAACCTTTCTATTAGTAGTGTAGGATAATCCCCTAAATGTACACAATTGGGTAAAACTAAGATATCTCTCTTGTTAATTTCCAGCCTAGTTTTCCTAGGAGAAGAGCACAGGTATCTCTTCTGAAATTCTCCTTCCTGGAAACCCCCACCCCACCCCCACTCCTGTGGCCTGGAGATGTCAAAAGAGGCTCCATCTGGTCCATTTGGTACACAGTTTCTAGAAGTACCAAGTATCCCATAAAGTAGGCCCAAAACTTGAGGATGGGATGAGGTGGTTGGGGTACCACTCACAGAAACAGAGGAAGAGCGTGTCCACACACATGCCAAAAACACTGAAGAAGCCACTGGCGATAACGTAGGCCCCCAGGATGCAGGTCTGGAATATACAAGTCCTGTTGGGATGCTGCTGAGTTTTTATTTGGGGGGCGGTGAGGGGTGAAGTGGGGAGGGGAGTCACTCACCATGATGGGCAGCCAATAGTAGTTGAGGTGAGGGTTCTGGAATTCCTTACCCAGCCCCTGGATTCGGCCAGAGAAAAAGAAGAAGGACAGGACCCCTGGGGAGGGACCTGGAGGTCAGTTCTACTTCTCCAAAGGCATCCTTTCTGCTGCCCAGCACCCTGCCCACTGTCCCCAGAACCCCTGGCTCTGGTTCTCACCGACGCCTCCAACCACCAGCAGCTTCCCAAAGAGCAGTAACAGGTCCGTGACTTTATCCAGGACAACCACCCTGTATGAGAATTGGGGAAAATTAGGGGTGGGAGCAGGAATTGATCCATAATCTGGGAGGTCCAGTGATAAATAAACATTGTCCAGGTTTCAAGATGCAAACAACCAGGTATTAAACTAAGCCCCAGATCCTTCTGAGGAACACAGTTGAGCATCTGTGAGTCTGGCTTGAGTGGGAGAGTTGAGGAGGGAAGCACATGCAGACGGGGCCAGCCTGACCTGACAATGTTCCTCATGAGAAGCATGAAAGCATTTTTGGCTGAGACGCAGAAATTCTTCCCATAGATGGCGATCTGGGTGAGATGGGAATTGTTACCTGAGGTGAGTCTGCCTCAGCTTAGGCCAGGGCATGGGAACAAGGGGCTGCTCTTGTTCTGAGACTCACCATGATGTATGCGTTGCGGTTCAGGAATTTGATAAACTTTTCCAGACACCAGAGGCAGCATTTGAAGCAACACATGATGCAGCGAGCTATAGGGTTCTGGGCTCCTGAGGGCAAGGGAGGCCTATTTTAGCCATGAGCCTCTGACACACCCTCCCTAAGGATCCAAAAACTTGGCCTAGCGTTCCCCAGTCCCAAAGCCCAATTTACTTCTCAGTTTGTGGTCAATGTACTCCAGAGCAATCCGGGCCATCTGCACAAGGGTCAGGATGAGAGCTCCAAAGGCCAGGGACCCAGTGTGGTAACTGCAGAGGAAGTTGGATGGTCAGAGGCAGCCTTGGATGTCCTGAGACCCCCACTTTCATAGTTCCCAGCATCTACCCAGGCTTACTGGAGTGTGCGAATGAAGGCAGCACTCAGGGGGAAGGTGGGGATGTCCTGGGGCTTGTGGAAGGCCCAGTAGAAGGAGGCAAAGGCCCCAGCCAGGACACACTGGCCTAGGGCCAGTACCCAGTTGAGAGTCCAGAAGAGCCCCAGGACTCCATAGATTTGCAGGTTGAAGAGGGAACGCTGTACCAGGCCTGTGGACAAGTAGCCCTGGAAGACGCACATCAGTTCTGGACACGAGGAATTCACTTGCTGGGCCTGGGAGGACAGGGTAGCCTTCAGTGTAGAGTCATGGCCTCTGCCCGTGCCCAGAGCAGAAGGAGGGACGTAGCAGTCCCTCTGGAGGACCCAGCAATGTTCATCTCTCAGTTCAAATTGGATACAAACAGTGCCTATTGTGTACGTGTAGTTAGCTTCCTTCCAGAGCTGCTAGGCCATTTGGACAAAGGTGTAATGGTGTGTGTGAAGGCAATGTCGTTAGGCAGACTGGGACCAGTACCCAGCTATGCTTCACCCTCTCAGTCGTCCCTTCCTAGAAGCCTCTAGAGATCTCCAGTCTGGGCTCACTGCCTAACCTCTGGACCCACAGAGCAGCCTCTGCAACTTCAACCAAAACACCAAAACACTTACCAGCAAAGCTGAACAGACTAGGTGTTAGATGGTATTAAGGAATTATTGTTAATTTTGCTAAGGAGCCCTGAGGTGCTGTGGGTTAAGCATTGGGCTGCTAACAACAAGGTCATCAGTTCAAATCCACCAGCCGCTGTTCTTCAGGAGAAAGATGAAACTGTCTGCTCCTGTAAAGGTTTATGGTCTTGGAAACCCTATGGAGCAGTTCTAGTCTGTCCTATAGGGTTGCTATGAGTCAGAATCAACTCGACGGCAGGGGGTTTGGTTTTTTTTTTATTTGCTGGGTATGATCATAGTATGAACTAGTTGATGTCTAGTCAATTATAACTCATGGTGATCCAGAGGGTTTCGGAGTAGAACCGTCCCATGGAGTTCTGAATGGCTGTGATCTTTCAGGAGTAGTTTGCTAAACCTTTCTTCAGAGACAGCTCTGCGTAGATTCGAACCCACCAACTCGATGGTTAGTAGTCAAGCACTTAATGATATTGTTGTTGTTAAGTGCCGTTGAGTCGGTTTCGACCCATAGCGACCCTGAATAGGGTTTCTGAGGTTGTACATCTTTACAGGAGCAGATCGCCTCATCTTTCTCCCGCGGAACAGCTGGTAGTTTCGAACTGCTGACCTTCCGGTTTGCAGCCCGATTCGTAACCACTACGCTACCAGAGATATAGTAGTGTTTTTTTTTTTGTTTGTTTGTTTTAATCTTATCTGTTGAGATCCATCCTGATATATTTACAAGGGAAATGGCATGATATCCAGAATTTGATTTAGAAAATTCCAGGAAAAAGAAAAAAACGCAGGTAAGGAGTAGGGAGACAGAGGAAAACAGAATGGCAAAAAGCCAAGGTGTGTGATTCACTGTTAACATTTTCTTGACTTTTGTGTGTGGTGTAAAATTTCCATAATAAAAAGTCAAAACACAGAAAACAACTCTTCCCAGTAAATATGGCCAAAATCTTGGCAACGGCTGACAGTGAGCATATATTCATATTATTGTAATAAGAAAATACAACTTTCTAATTTGCATGTCATTGTGACTTTGTATCCACTACTAGATTATGAACAAGTTAAAAGTAAGAACCAGGTCACGTTGGGCTTTGTGCACATGTAACTGGCACACAGTAGGTCCTACTTCGATGCAAATGAGCCTCCTTTTAATTAGATTGGGATTGATACCCGCTGTGCTAGCTCAGAAGAGGCTCATACATAGAACAGTAAATCCCCAGCAGCCCAGGCTTTTGAAGCTGCTCACAGAGCACGGTTTCTGGAAACAGCTTCGTTCCCAGGCCCCACAGGGAGTGTACATATGCCTACTGCCCAGGCTGCTGGGGACTGTGTTCCCAGGGGAAAAGACTTTTTTAAAAAAAACAAACCTAACCTCACGTTATCAAATTCTTATCTGGTGCCAGGCATTGTACTAAGCACTCCATGTGCCTAATGTATCACTTCATTTTCTCAGCTGCCCTGTGGGAATTATCTCCATTTTACAGATGAATGGACTAAGACTTAGAGAGCAGAGGGACATGTGAAGGGTCCTAAAGGTGGAAGGATGTCCTGGGGAGAGGTGGAATGAATTCTGGTCTCCAGCTTGTCCTGGACTTGGCCTTGTGCTCTCAGGCTCAGCCTGCCTCCCAACCTTAGTTTCCTTCTCCATATAATGGGTCAGCTTGCGAATACTAAATCAGGAGTCAGTGGCACTTGCTTTTTAGCTTTGCTGGGGTGCATAGTGGGTTAAGCATTGGCTGCTTGAACAGCAAGGTTCATGGTTCAAACCCACCAGTCACTCTATAAGAGAAAGATGAGACTGCTCTCCAGATTTACAATCTTCTGTCAAGGTTTATAGCTCTACTCTGTTGTATAGAGTCACTATGGGTCACAATAGACTGGATGGCAGTGGGCTTGGGGCAACTATGGGACCTTGAGTGGACTCCCTTGCCTCCTATCGCCTGTGCAAAATGAGGTATTTGGACCAGGAGGTCACTGTTTTGGATTGAATTGTGCCCCTCAAAATATTTTATAAGTCCTAATCCTTATTCCTTTGGTTGGAACCCAGGTGTCACTGTGGGATAAGAATTAGACTGCTAACAGCAAAGTTGGTGCTCTGAGGAAAAAAGATGAGGCTGTCTACTCCTGTAAAGCTTTAGTGTCAAAAACCCTAAATAGGGTCCCTACAAGTGAGATTCCACTAGAAGGCAGTGGATTGGGTTTACACCTGTGGCTACAATCCCATTTGGGAAGGGGTACTCTTTGTTATAAGGAGTTCTGGTAGCTTAGTGGTTACGAATCGGGCTGCGAACCTTAAGGTCAGCGGTTCGAAACTACCAGCCGCTCCGCGGGAGAAAGATGAGGCTTTCTACTCC